AAAGTTAACAAAAAAAAGAAACATGGAAGATGAATGTTCTTTTAGTATAAGTTATTGGTTTTTCTCTTTCTCTCTCTTTTGTTTCTCTTTGTTCTCTCTTTTGTTTCCTTTTTATTTTAGTTTTTAGTTTTGTTGTTGTTTCTAAACACGTTTACACCATTTACCTTATTTAAAAAAAAAAAAAAAACTATTACGTTAATTTTATAATAAATTATTATTTTAACCTTTTTTTTATTGATTATAATCAATTTTATTAAATTATGGAAAATTTTAATTTTTTTTTTGTGGTTTTTTAATTAGTGACGGTTAATTAATGATATGTGGAATTGATAAGTGATATGATATCGTATATAACGTCAAAATGTACATGAACAGGACAATAAATAATTGTTCTTCGTCGTGTAATTTAACGTCGGATTATGTGACCATTTATCAGGTTCCGACTAGTATTATTGTTCTCTTATCAGTTTTATACGGTTCGATATCGGTGATAGCAGTTGTTGGTAATTTCATGGTCGTATGGATAGTTGCATCGTCAAAATCGATGCAAAACGTAACAAATTGTTTTATATGTAATTTAGCATTGGCGGATATTGTTATTGGATTTTTTGCCATACCTTTTGAGGTGAGTCTTGTTTTCATTATTACATTTATGTCAGCAAAATCTAAATTAAATTTTTTTTTTCTTTTCTTTTCCATTCTCCTTTTTTCCTTTTTTATTTTAACCAAATACTTTCTTTCTTTCTCTCTCTCTCTCTCTCTATTACTTTTTATTTTTTCTCTCTCCATAAATTTATTTTCATTCTAATAAAAAAAAAAATCTTTTAAAATGAACCAAATAAGTTGCCAATGAAACTAATCGAATTTTCTTTTTCGGCTTTTTTTGTAAAAATTTAATTTAATTTAATTTTTTTTTTTTTTTTGTATTGTCAAATAAATTTTAAAACCAATAATGGCGGTTTAAATTATATATCTATATATAGTTAAAAAAAATTTTTTAAAAAACTAATAAGAAAAGTTTTATTAAATATTTTTTCTCATTCGTTTTTTTTTTTTTAACTCATTCGATATCACCTTAAAAAAAAAAATTATTTACATTAATTAATCATCATCATCATCATCTTTAAAAAAAAAAATTTCAATTAGTATACATCAATAATTTATTATTATTATTATTATTATTTTAAATGTCACATACACACATGCACGCACAAAGACCATATTAAATAAAAAAAAAAGGAAAAAATTAATTTAAAATCTCTCGGGGGCATCCGTCGTAATACCAAAGAAATTATTCATTACCTTCATAAGGGAAGAGGAGGGGAGGAGAGGGGAAGGGGGAGAAGGTTAAGTAATATATATATATATTTTTTTTCATCAACAACAATAACAACAACAACAACAACCTTAAACTTAAAAAAAAATGAGTCTTTTATTATTTTTTCCTATTTTGCGGTTGAAACTTAAAATTGTAATAAATATAAAAAGCTTTCTTTTTCTATTTCTTATACTATTTTTTCTATTTAAAAAAAATTACTCGTATGTTTTTATCGATAATAAATCATTATTATTATTATTATTATTATTATTATGACGTTACGCTTATGGGGTTTTATTTTTTAAATCGAGTTAACAATAGAAAATAATAAAAACATGTGAATCGATTTTTCATTTATATATATATATATATATATATAAATAAATTATCCATAAAAAATCACTTTAAATTAATAATAATAATAATAATACATTTTCCTTGATTTCTTTCTATGATTTTTATTTTAAATAATTCGTTTGTAACACATCAATAAATAAAATAAATTAATAAGTTTATTTAATTATTTTTCTTTCTTTTTCTCGAAAAAATTTATTAATTATTATTATTATTTGTACGAAAACGATATTTTAATAATGATGATAATAACAATACAAGAATTATATTATACTCATTAATTTTTAATAAAAATTTAAAACAATCAACGATTGTAATAATAATAATAATTGAAAAAAGAAAAATGCTTTGAAATTATATTTAAGTGGAAGAAGTTTTTTCTAAATACGGTCATGGAATTTAAATTATAATAATAATAATAATAATAATAATAATAATAATAATAATAATAATAATAATAATTCAAAATTTTTTTATTTGACGTTTTAACTTTTTTCCCCTTTTCAAAAAAAGAAAAAAAAATAATAATAATGGTGGTAATAATAATAATAATAATAATTGTGACGTAAAAATATGTCAAAAATTAATCAAAACAAATTTATCGAGTAAAATTTGAATTTTATTTTCATTTGACGCCATTTGTAATTT